AAAAGATCCATAATCCTGTCCCTATAAAAGACTCCAGCCGATCTCCAGTAGGGGAGACGGGTTTTTTGGAGGAATCTATTCCCCTCCGTCTCCTATATATCGATATATAATAAACATCTTGCTGCTCACCTCACCCCCGTCTCAGAATTCGCTATCGCGGCAGGCGGCTCCAATCCGAGTTATTGCGGTAACAAACTTGGTGGCCTGTACGGGGAACTCAAGCCGCTTGAGACGCAGCAGCTCCGGGGCAGGCCCTGGGACTGATCGACAGCTCCCCTGATAAGCGCCCGCGAGAGGTTTCATTTGCCTCTGTGGAGACTTTCGCCAGACCTGGGTCTGTCACCGGCATCGCTGGTCCCCAACCGCGCCAAAAAGAGATGGGTGAAAGAAAAGCAAGACCTGTATAGGAGGGATCCCAAGGTGAGTCCGCGACTCCTCTCCCTGTGGTACTCAGGGCCGGGGCGGATAGGGGAGGCCCGAGGTTTCCGGAGCGGGACTTGAGCCCTTGGTTTCTGGGGTGACAGGTGCCCCCAGATGACCGTCTCCGTGAGTAGGCTCACCAGTAGGGGCTCCTGGTGACTCTAGAGTTCTGGTTCTGGGTGTGTGAATGCTTGTAAGTGTGACTGGGAGGTTGAGATTCTATAAGATAACCTCTGCTGGCGAGCACGGCCATCTGAGAGGTTGAAAGGTGTCAAGAAAATCTCCATCAGCTTGCGGGATTTCTCGTGTGTGTGTCTGGGAGGTTGAGATTCTCTAAGATATCCTCTGCTGGCAAGCAGGGCCATCTGAGAGATTGAAGGGGATCGAGAAAATCTCCGTCAGCTTGCGGGATTTATTCATTTACTGTGGTTTTGTATCTGTCCTGTCCACTTGTTTACTGTGGTTCTGTGTCCGTCCTGTCCATTGTGTGTGTGTAACTAGTATTATACCATCTACTCCGGCGCCCTGATTCAGCTATTAAGAGAAAGCTTCAGAAAGAAGGAAACCAAAAGCTTGAACCTTATCGCTTAACATCTGTGATAAATGAGCCTGGATTTCCCCCACTACTACTGATTGACTGGTTTGGGGTTCATATTTAAAAACACTATAAACTGAGTATACTAGAAGTAACTTAGAATTTCAGTGGCCATTTTGGGAAAATGAGTTTTCATTTGTGTTGTCTGTTTTTTTCCTTAGGGAACTCTGATGCTCAGGTTTTGTCAAGAGGTCTAATATTCCTCCATCTGAGGCTCCGGCAAGTTAATAAGTTTTATCTAGAACCTGTTTATGTGGTCTTTCTGTCTCCTTTTGTTCTAAGAGCTTGCTTCTGGTCTAGAGAATTGTGTTCAAGTCTGTCTTGTATTAAATTGGTGGCTATGGCTAAGAATTGCTGTATTTTGTAAGGCTAGTCATAGAACCTCAGTTCTTTTTTCATCCAGAAAAAACTGCATCTTGTGTCTGTCTTATGATTTAGATTTTTAAAAGCTACTTGGAGAAACTTCGATATAATTTGGTCTATTTGAGAAGTACACTAAGATCTTTATGTTTTATACTATGTCAATCTTAAAAGTGAAACCTTTCTAAGTAACTTAAGCTAGATATGAAATGTGTTTTATTTAAGGAAAAAGGATAGTTTTGTCTTAAAGTAAAAGTAGCAGTTCCAGAACAGTAAAAAAGAAATTAGTTATCTCTTGTCCTTAAATTCCTAGGTCAATTTAAACATATGTAAACAAACTGGGATGAAGCCCCAGTCTTGCTAACCAAGAATTGTTGGATTCATTTACAAAACTGCTAAAGAGCTCTGCTATTTACTGGGTAGATAACCTTTCAAAATGCCTCCATCACTTAAACATATGTAAATGTCTTCCAAGAGTCAAGAGAGTGAGGGCGAGGCACAATCAGGCCTCCCAGTTCCCAGTCGCCAAAATCGTGTAGCTCCAGGCAAGCTTTTCAAAGACCCCTTTCCAGCTAAGTGGAGACTCTTTTAAGACAAAAGATAAGAAAGATTGCTGCTTTGCTATAGTTATCAGAAATTGGGCAGATCCTAATCATAAAACTGTAAACAAGTTCTCTCTATTATAGGGGAACTATAAGAAGTCAAAAAAAAAAAAAAAAATAGAAACCACAATGAGACCTGAAGTGGCCTGGAAAAAATGTTTCCAGCAGTAGCCAAACACTTAAGGTTATATCCATATCAATGAATTGGTCAAGTGAGCAGAGACTTTGTGATTTCCAAAGCCAGTTGATAGAATCTTTAAGGGCTAAAATTTGATTGGGAAAAATATGAGAAGTACTAAAAGTTGAAGGAAATCTTAGAATGTTTACATAGACTTTCCTTTCAGCAACAGTTACAGTTTATGATATATAGGCTTAAAATTATTTCCACACTTTGGGTAACTTATTGATGTTATTAAGTTTATATACTTTTGCTTTATATGCCACAAGAGAAAGGATAGACAGATAAGTCTGCTAATGAGTGTTCATTTTTTCCATTGAAAGGGATGCACTATAAAAGATATGCAACAAAGACAACATTTAAGAGGTTTATTGAAAAAGAAATTTATTTGATATGGTCAGGTTTTATCTGACTAAAATTTACTGGTTTAATTTATGAGATTTTTAGGAATGTTAATGTTAAGTAGCATATAAAGCAAAGAATTGGGTTTCTCGATGTTAAAATAACAATTTTCTTTAATTTCTGAGTTAAAAGGTTAATTTATTCTTTGTAATCTGCCTGGAAGATGAAGGTTGGGCCTCTCACTAGAATTAAGATTCCTGAGTCTGAATACTAAGCCTCATGGCTTTTAGAAAAGAAAGCTAAGGTTTTTACTTTAAGGTCTTTGGTTAAATATTGTTTCACAGTGACCTATAATATTATTATTCCTTTATTGCTAACTTGGTTGTAACTTTGTCTTTTTGAATCTACCAACATCAAAGCCAATGGTTTGATTGGGGAATTCACATCATTAACCTATGAAGTTTTTTTATCACAATTCAAGTATTTAGAGATTTGATAATCTTGGTATATTCTTGGCATATCCTGATTATATGGTATTTTGTCTCAAAATAATTATGTATTACATCTGAAGCTCTTTGAATACAGTTAGTGGTTATATTTAGAAATATTTTTATCTAAAGTTTTTTTTAACTGGTTTTATTTGGCCTTTACGTTACACTTGTAATTAACTTCTATCAGCTCCTTCACTATTAAGAGTATTATTTTTATAAATTAATCATGGCCATATTAAGTTTTTTCATCTGCAGGTAAGTTTTTACCTTGCTGATCTGCTGACCAAAATATCTCAACAAAAAGATGGACTATGTTGGACTTGCTAAAAAGACCGTGACTGGACTGAATAAAATTTCCAGAACTCCTATGCAGAAGCTGATGGGTTCATAGACTGCGGCTGATCCAGAATCACGTGGATCAGAAATTAACTACATAAGACTGAGTAAACGAAAGGAAACTATGGGTTTTACATGGGAATATTACTGATATTTTAAAGCCCTATTTTCTGGATATAGGAAATCATTTTCCTTTCTCCTAAAGTATCTAACTAATGGGTTTAGATGTTGTGACTCTTGAATTAGAAGTTCTGTTGGTAAACTCTGCAAAGTTTTGACTATCATAACCAGACAAGTGTCTGAAATTTGAGCTATGATTTTACAAAATAGAATAGTATTAGCCTTTCCTGTTAGTCTCTCAAGAAACAGTTTGTGCCTAAATAGACAAATGCTGCTATATTTATATTAACACTCATTCTGAGGTTTGGCAAAATGTAACTGCTGTTGAGGCACGTGAAAAGCAGTTACTGATGCTGCTTATGCATAAACAATCACCTATTATGGCGGGAGGTCCATCTATCCCAGCCAAATCTCCTCTAGGCTGCATTCTAACAAACTGGAGGAGGTATAGCTATGAGCCTATGACAAGAAAGAGAATGATATGCTTATGGAACAATGTATGGCCCCAATACCAGCTGGGGGACCAGAAACATTGGCTCCAAAATGGGTCTCTGGCTTAC